CACCTACGAGTTGTTTTAGTTTTTCATCTTACCGACTTCAAAATGAACTTGTAATTGTAGACTTTGTATGCATCATTTCAAAATTGTGTACTCATCATTACTGCCAAATGATCATAACTAGTCTAAATATGCCTTTGTTGTTGTTGGACTGAAAACTCATCAAATTCCACACCGTAAATCATGAAAATGAATGTATGCTCTAATCTCCATATGTGATTCATTTAGAGCTTCTTATCTCTTAAAAGAAACAGTAACAAAACAATCATATTTTGTCTTTTTTTTGTACATCAGTCTTGACAAGTGAGAATGTCTCATTTTTCTCTAGTGCTAACATTCGTTCAATGTCCACACTAATCCAATTTTAAGTATTGTAATCCTAACTATTGTACATGATATTATCTCTAGCAATGAAATGATGTGAATCCGTTGTGGTTTCATTATATGCAGAATTATGTGAACATGTATCACTTAGTATAAAACAATTTTTTTCCCCTTAAACATCATTTAAAGAAAACAGAGGGACTATGTAAGAGATACATGTTTGGTTATTCGTTTTAATTTACTTCTCCTTGTACTTCTCGGAGAGCATTGATGTTGGCCATTTCGAGCATTCGTCGCGACATAATCACATCAAGGGTCTCCTCCTTTATGAAGAACCCTGGAGGAGGCGGGTCATGTGGATGACTTGAACCGTTTCTGTAGATCTTGTTACAAGCCTCACAAAGGCATTTCATGAGCCACAACGAAGCCTGTGTACTCCTCTTCATCCCCAAATGTATTGTACTCATCCTCAGGTTGTGCGTCGAAATCAGTAATGGTATTCTGTTCTCCAACAATTTCGATACCAGTAATCGTGTATGCAGTATTCAAGTTACGATGCAGGTAGTTGTTGATGTTAGCCCGAAACTGTGGCTCTGGATAAAGTGCTCCTCCTATTTGAGCTGTGTTGACATCCCATAATAGTTGAACAGGAGTTTCAACTTGTGGTTCGGTTTCTGCGAAAAGATAGAAATTATTTGACAAATATACACATATTTCACAAAGCTATGGAGTTTCAATTCGTATTCTGATATAAGATGACCAAATATCCAATCAAATTTGTTCAGTGCAGCCCTAGCTTCCTCTATTCTACGTCTTGTCCTTTGTTGTTGGACTGAAAACTCATCAAACACCACACCGTAAATCCTAAAAATGAATGTATGCTCTAATCTCCATATGTGATTCATGTAGTGCTTCTTATCTTCTAAAAGAAACCGTAACAAACGCATGCAATCATATTTTGTCTTTTTTTTGTACATCAGTCTTGACAAGTGAGAATGTCTCATTTTTTTCTAGTGCTAACATTCGTTCAATGTCCAGACTAATCTAATTTGAGTATTGTAATTCTAACTAATGTACATGATATTATCTCTAGCAATGAGGTGATGTGAATCCGGTCGTAGTTTCATTATATGCATATTTCTGTGAACATGTATCACTTAGTATAAAACAATTTTTCCCCCTTAAACATCATTTAAAGATGGGTTAATTTATGAGATAACCATATTGAGTCATAAAATAGAGCATATAGCCATGGAAAAAAACATAATAAAGTGACTAACCAATTTTTATGCAAATTGACCATTATAGTCTTATCAAAAAGACACAGAGATATTGCCACATCATTTCATCTCTTTTATTCTCTGTATTTTTCCAATATAATTCTTTGTTTATATCCTAATTTTTTTGTTCATGGTTTTAATCTTATATTACCAATTTGATTCAATGTTGAAATCTTAGTATAAGAACCGATAATTAAGAATCTAATATAATTTATTTATTTTTTAAACGGACACAACTTTTTTAAACATGGGTTTGTGGTTGTAATTAATAATGCATAGTTCTGTTCAAGTGATTCAGTGACAAAACTTATAATACAGAGATATTACTATAATAGTAAAACTTTAACAAGTAGATAAACATATATCACCAACAATTAGTTAATAATAAGTGTACACTGTCAACATATATATCAATAACACTAGAAATACAAATTGTGTAATCTACATATACA